CCTTCGTTTGGCACCACCTGTTGATTTGCAAAAAGAAGTAATAAAAAGTCTTCACATGTGTTTATTTGAAGTACCACAGATACTCCATTTATTTTATAGAAAATAACAACACAAACTGATGGTAATGCCGGGGGGGGGCGCCGGCGGGCCGCCGGGCGGCTAGCTCTGCTTGCTGGGCGCAATGCCTGTGCCGGGGTGGGGGGGTGCCGGCGGGCCGGCGGGCGGCTAGCTCTGCTTGCTGGGCGCAATGCCCATGGCTGTGCGGGGGGGGGGGGGGCGCCGGTGGGATCCCGTGGGGCGGCTATCTTGGCTTTGGCTGGGGGAGCGCAATGCCTGTGCCGGGGGCGGCGCGGGCTCCGCCGTGGCGGCTCAGTCTCTGCTTGCTTGGCGCAATGGTGTGCCGTGTTCGTCATGTGTTTTTTTCACTAGTAAGGCTTCTTTTTTGTTGTTTTTTTTTTTTTTTTTTTTTTTTTTTAGTTTTTTTGTTTATTTTTGTTTCTTTATTCTCCTTTTGTTTCCAGACAGTTTCTTTTTCTTCTCAACATTTTTTTTTTTCAGCTTGGTCGTCGTCATGAGAAAAACTAAGCCAGCCTTTTGATTTTGTTTTGGGTTGTGATTAATCGTTTGGCACTGCCAAAATGAGATGAAGTGACTTTCCAAAATTAGTGCTGGAGGGAAAGATGTTTGTTCAAATTGTGGATGAACCACGAAGCATTTTTTTTTTTTAAATGTGGGTTCCCCATTGGAAAATTGTTATAGATTCTTGAGATGTCCTTGGGTTTTAAGAAAAATCACATAAACAACTTTGGGTTTTTAAGTTGTTTTCATATACTCTTCTTGACCTCATGGGTTTTGAGAAAATATCAATGTTTGCCGTAATTGCTTGAGATGTGCGAAACACAGACCGTACCAAAACAATTGGCGGGGTTTTGACGGGGCAGAAACATGAGACGGGTTGTGAAAAGCAACAGTTTAGCTAGATCAATCTAACACTTTATTTGGAAGTAAAACATGAAGTGATTGTACTGTAATGTAGGCATGAGTTCTCGGCAATTCTTTAATATTGCACAGAAATTGTAGGTGTATTCAAACAGTCGCAATACAATCTAAGTTTTTTGAGATGAAGTGGTGTTCACACTGAAAAGTGAGTATACTTAAACGGTGGGCACAGAGGTTTTATTGGTTAATGCTAAATCAACCTAAATCATATCACATGAAATGCTCACGACACTGATGCTAAGCAGGTAATTAGCATGCTAAACATTGCATAACTTGAAGTGCAGTGGAGGCGGATTTTCTTCAGTAGAATATGAAGGTAAAATTTTTTCGCTAAGTAGGTGCTGCTGGAAGATTTAAAGGTACATTTCTGGCAACTTGTCCAGTATCTGTAAAAAATGTGTTTCACTCAAAACATAAACATCAACCCTATAGTGGTGTCACATTCAACAGTCGGGGACAAGATGTCTGTACAAGTTTATATTCTTCTGCTAAGTGAAAACTTTGACTCTGCTGGTTATGCAGAGGAAAAGTCATGTGGATACATCACCTGGGGCAGACTGCATGAAATTTTTTACCCATTTCATTGTTCAATCCATGTATTTTAAATTTTTCATTGATATTTTTGTTGAATTTTAATAAAAGTTTGATTTATAAGGTGGTTGATTTCCTTTGTATACTGACTGTAAACACAATATATATTATATATAGTTACATATGTATAAAATTGTATCAGTATGGCAAGGGTACGTCCGCACAGCTATTACAAAGCAGGTTTGTTTGGCCAAACTGCCGGGTTTGTATGAAACACGTCTGATCGTATGACTCATTTGTCTATTGCCTGTTTGTTTCTCTTCATTGCTTCCAGTGGCGCCGGCAAACTTGCCCGGTGTTTAATCAGTGGTAACTGATTAGAAACGATGGCTAAACTAGAAATAACATAGATCATCTAAGTAGCCAGTTGTCCAATAAAGATAGACGTTGTTTGCATCAGCTGTCTCTGCCACCTCAATTTTGATCACGGAATACACAATGCATGGTCATTATGGATTTTAGCAATTTGGGTGATGCATGTATGAATGAAGCACCGAGTGGCTTCGGTGAAGTTTGTTTATAATCAACACACTGACATGAAGACAGATTTAGATTTAACTTTTCCTTTAAAACTCACTCTTTATGCTTCTCCTCTGCAGAGAACGTTCGTCTGCCTGAATGAAAGGCTTGTGTTCTTTGAAACGAATGTGAACAGGATATGGGAAGAACTTGAAAACATGTTTTTCCCAGAGTTTGCACATTGGTGTTTAGCCTTTAAAGTCCTGTCCAATACTGCAGCAAAGTATTGATCTCTTGAGTCTTCTTGAAGGCCAGAGTTTTAACAGCGTATTGATAAGATTATGTAGATTCATTTGCGGGGCGTTTGGATGAGCTGTCTGTGCATGATATAAGACATGACACATCTCATCTAATTTTAACGTGATCGAGTTGTTGTTATGGGAATTTGAAAATAGGCTTCTGCTGGGCTGCCATAGGCAAACTGCAAATACCTGTGATTTTGAGAACGGCTGATAGATGAGTCTGTATACAGTATAAATCTGGCTTCTATAAGACTTTACATTTTCAGTCATGAAACTAAATATAGATTTCACACGGAAAAGCTTTCAAAGTTACAGGAATACTGTCTGTTTTCCTTTAATAATGCAGGTGTTGATGCTTCTTTTGGGGAGGGGGAAACAGATTAGGGAGTAATAGTAATTGCGCTGTCACTTTGTGATGGGTATGGAGCTTATTTTCCTGTGACAACTATTGCTAACAGACTGAGTTAACACAGATGAGGTGTTGCTATGGAGACTTAGTGAGGAACTGAGCAGCTAAACCTGACAATTTATCAACAAAAGGGAGTGGTATTTATAGAGCTGTTTTGTGGAAAACATCAAGAGGCAGCCAGGTTAAACACTGTTCTCAGAACACTGGGCTTGTTAATTAAACAAGAGCAAATGTGACAATTTTGTTTATGAAATATAACACTTGACGAAAGTGACCACATCAAAATTTCCACATGATAAATATTACTTTACTGTGAAGTAATGAATCCGAGAGAAATGTGGTAGCT